TCATTTTATTTACGAAAATATCTCATAATGTATTGACGTGTCCAGGTCGTACTCACTCACCATTATATGTTTGATCTTAAACGCAGCTGCCCTCATGTTTTGCTGCAGGACTGCAACTGTGAGTACATTTTCTGTCATCTTTGCAGGCCCGTAATATGAAGAGTGTACAGAGTAACATATTTAGCAACAGTGTGAAAGTGAATAGCACAAAACAGGCACAATATCGGTATAAACAGAAATATATCGGTAATACGCGTCTCATGACTAAACATGCGTCATAGTTTTCAAAAGCCACACTAAAATGTGAAAACTGTGTTTTCACAATTTCAAACAGCTCTGTTTTCCTTGACAAAAATGCCGTCTCGGTGAACAAGGCATCAGAGTGTGTTTCTCTCTCGAGTGAGAGTGAAGCTGGAGCTGTAAGCCCTGGAGTGGAAGCATTAGAGAAATCAGACTCTGTTCTCAAATATGTGTTTCTTGGTCATACCCAGAGATCAATGCTTTGGGTTCATTTGTGACTAGTTTTGTTGGTAGAGAAGACATACACAAACAAACCAGTGGCATCTCTGGCTCTTTATTTCTGGTCTAACCCAACATGAGAGCGCACACAGTCATCTCTAATCATTTCATCTCAGCACAAAACACCAATAACATGTGCATGTCATAAAGCTCAGGAGGTTATGAAAGTGAATCAGAAAATCACCAAAGGCTGTGAATATTATCTGACTCAGCTCCAGGGGTGTCTCTAGGTCCTTTTTAGGGGGCTTTAGTCTCCTTCAAGCACTCATCAGCCATCATTTCTGCTCAGCCCCCCTAAAAATTGTGATTAGCTCCATAATCTGTACACAAATTTCGTGTTTGCTTCAGACCCCTTTAAAACTCATTTGAAAACAGCTGCAAGCTTTGGTTCCTCTCCAGGTCAGGGTTTTGTTAGAAACTCAGAGTTTGTTAACCCCAGAAAAGGGAAACTGATAGTACTTACTCGCGAGCAGGTTTTCTTCGGTAAAACCAGAGTTTCTTTCGGTCTCCTCCCCCTTTTTAAAGCGTAAGCAATGTTCAAATACCTCATTCATTTATTAATGCTGCAAAAATGATTTTATTGCTGATATTTTTGCCTTATTTCAAGCACAAAAATCTAAAAATCCTTAAATCAAGATGCAGTTTCTATATAAAATAAAATAAAATAAAATAAAATAAAATACGATATATAGTCTTGTTTCCTGGGGGAAACAAGTAAAATTATCGGTAACACTTTATAATAACTTTCATTAATAAGTAATTAACAAACATTATGTAATGCCTAACGGATCATTATTTCATATATATTTACATATCTAGAAATGTAAAATAATGTGCTTGTTACTGTTTACTAATAAATGTATTAAACATTACCTAATAATTAACATTTCATGTAAATTAAAATGCTTACAAATTTCATTAAACTTCTAATTCATATGATCATGCACATCTTGAAAATCTACAAATGATTTTAACAGATGTTATACAATGATTAAAAGCTTGTGTTAATGCACAACACGTTTGCTGCTGTTGCGGTGTGATACGGGTAAGGTTAGGGACAGGATTGGTGTATGGGTAGGTTTAAGGTTTAAGTTTAAGTGTACAGGGGTCAATTCGATTACTATAAGGGAACACAATTCAATCTGTTTATATTGCATTGTTTTGATAAATGAAGTATTTTCTTGAAAAAAAAATTTTTTTCCACCTCCTGTTGATGTATGACTCAAGGAATATTCTGTTTAATGATTCACAATAGTACACTAATATAAGTGTTGAGGTGATAAAAACATGTTTTGCACCCAAATTACAATGTGTGATATGTCTTTACCAAGCATTTAGCTAAACTTAACTAACCACCCTTCACACAAACTTTGTTAAAGTAGCTAAAATTCCAGTGCCAATAAAGATACTAAAAGTTTATAAATATTTACAAATGATGAATAGCCTCCACTTTAGATTGGGTACTGCAAAAACCTTAACAAATTATTAATAAATGATTTAAGATGTGCAAATAGTAGAAGTCAACACAACAAAGACCAAATATATGAACTTTACAGACTGTGATTATGAGCTAATGAATATATTAACATGAATAGTTTGTGAAGTACCTATAAGCTATATTTTCACAACATTTGTAAATGTACATTTTTATTAAAAATATGGAAAAACCTGAACCTTATTTTGGTGTATTGTGCATGCAGATTATATTTTAGGATGTTAAGCCAAAGAAATGTGTTTATAAGACCTTTATTCTTTCTCTTTCTATATACATTAGACATGTAGAAACTAAATGTCTGTATATTGTCTGTAATATTGGTCAGTCTTATACAGAGACCCTGGTGTGATTGTGACAGCTCTGATCTTTATAAATTCTCTATCACAGATCAGTGGATAAAGGCTGTAAGGAAAACAGGTCAATTTAGCTCAAAGGGAATCATTTAAG